TGCTATCAAGAAAAACAGACGTTAAAGGAACCGATACAAGTTATTGATGGCTTCAGCATCACTTTGTCATTGTCGTCACTTCCAGGTCAATAATATGCCTTCAGTCACGTCTGGCTGAGTATTCTGTTCTGACAGATAGAAATATGACGTTCAATGAGATGTATATATTGAGAAAAAGTGTATTTATTCAGGTAGGTAGGTGTCTTGGGCGAGGGTTTAATGCTGTGTGACCTCTTAGGGACTGAAAGAATCAGTGGCCGAAACCAAAGAGAAGTGCAATATTCAAAGAGCATGTTTGTCTAAGAAAGTGAATTCATTCAGGTTATAGAAATGCTGTTCTGTTTTCAAATCAGTCTCACAAAGCCTGTCAAAAACACATCTGTCGTATATCACCCTCAAAATACAAAAGAAATTACCTTATGTTAAAAGAATAGTTTTTCAGTAAGTTACTCCCAAATTCGTATTACTATAAAGCAGAAAATAGACAGACATATTATTCAATTTAAATTAAAATCATTTACATTTAAAATCATGGTAGCATTGGTCTGTATGCTGATTTAAATATTAAAAAATGCATTCATATTTTTGTTTTTGTAATATACAGGAAAATTATTAGTATAGATGTGCTTAATTGTCATTGAACATACATAATGTCACAATACCTTCATTCAAGGCTTAATTATCTTTATGCAAAATGTAATTTATTTTGAGGAGGGTATGAAATTTTTTCTTATTTTGGATATTTGCCATTTTGTAGTGGTATTGAAGGAAAATGTTCTTTTTATACAAAAGAGAAAGGGATTATCCAGCGTTAAGTACCTGAACAGCCAGTTTTCTTGTGTTCATGACACATTCCGATGAGTAAACCTGGCTCAAGATGATTTAGACTGATTCAATCCTGTACAGTATTACTGTACAGTATTATTTAGATCCTAATATTCATCATACACAGTCGATTTCAATTCTTTACTGTAGGGTTCTTATTTGGTTTGTTAGGAGTTTGTACTCTGATGAATTACATGCAAAATTGTCAAAATGAAAGCTGACATAGAACACGCTCACTCATAAGTGCCTTCTGCTGTATCTAATTTGGAGGAAATCAGATGGAAATATCTACTGTACACTGGTTTGTGTAGGGATTTGGTGCTGTTTTTACAGAGATTCTTTTTAATGGTTACACATGCTCTAAATGTTGCTGCCTTGCAGTTTTTTGTTTTTTTTTTATTGTTTTTTTTGCTGGGCTTTTTTGTAAAAAAAAAAAAAATTCAATGCATTGTAGATCTGACAGTCAATAGTGTGTTACTTAAAAAAAAATTAAGTTGTTTTTTATTTATTTTTCCAAATATTTTGTTGGCAAATACGTCATTCATGCAGACACCAACAACCTTAAAATAAAATGTTTCTTCGGATTTCTTTAGTGTGTTTTATTTGTTATATAATCAATATCAGCATCACCTGTTCATGAGCATTAAGCAAATATATTAATTAGTTTACTGTCTGACTGCAGCATTGGATAATGTACTTCCTTTCAGTCTTCTGTCTGTCGGCATGTTAGCTTCATCATTCTTCTGTTCCATCACTCCATCGTTACATAGGCTGATCCCTGTCTGTTGTGCCAGACTCCAGAAATAGCTGCTTGTAAATGTGCATCATTGCTGTAATAAATAACTAGACCAAGACCTCGAAGAACATTTCTCAGTACTGCGGTAGGATTCTCAGTTCTGCAAATGTAAATGATTTGTTTATAGTGGAAGCAGGAACATTTCTTTTGAAAAAAATATAAATGCGTTTCATGCTTGAACTGCTTTGAAGCTGCATTAAAGGGATAGTTCACCCAAAAATGAAAATTACCCCATGATTTACTCACCCTCAAGCCATCCTAGGTGTATAATGCTCTTTTTCCCGGACACATCCTGGCCAGATTTTCTATATTGCCATAAAAAATATCCAGGTTTTGGCTTTGTTTTCCTGTTTTCACTCTTGCTGAAGGTAATGATCGAAAAGTAGTTTGACCAAAAAGAGCAGTGTGGTCACCCTAGGTGTACGTGACTTACTAGGTGTATAAAGGCTTTCTGAAGTGAATCAATGAAGTGAGAGTGA